TTTTAGTATTTATGTGTTTGTACTGGGAGAGGATGGAAAAGAAAACACATTACAAAGAACAACCTCCCAAATTATTAATCTTTTATGGAAAACATGTTTTTGCTCTTGCCAAGTGTTAGTTTTTTTCTTCTTTCCTTTTTTTTTTTTAAATTGAGTGGTAGTGTATACTGCATTACACAATGCCGACTACTAGTGATTTCACTTGAAATCCATTTTGACAAGCTTTTAAAAGGAGAGCTGTCTACTTTCTCTCCCCATATCTCACCACCCATTTACTTTCCATGCAGCCTTGTTTTATGAGGGGACAGCCCTACAGAAATCATTCATTTTCAGCCTCTAAAGGTTGTTTCTAGTTATCAGACCAAAAAGTCATTTCACTAACATCACTTTAAAAAAAAAAGACAAATCTGTGTTCTGCTTGTTTTGGCTTTTCTTGTTCTTGGTCTCATTGTGTGTGTGTGTGTGTGTGTGAACATCATCTACATTGATTAAAATGTATGCACTCTCCCCTGACCCAGCTTAGCCACACTTTTAATGAGAACATAGCATTTCTGATTAGATATTACTATATGATTTCAAGTTCCTCCTGGCAGTTCTGTGCTTCCTTAAATTTATTGATCTTGTTCTAATTATAGTTGATTGGTTTTATTTTTTGATAGAAACTTCTGCCTTTTATTCCTATATGATGTTTCAGTTATCTGCTTATGCTGATCATCATGAACCTAGCCTGTTTGCAGGACTTGACATTGGCCTGTGGAGTCCTCTACCAGAAATATCTTCCCTGAATTTTGCTGTCTTGAAGAATGGTTATCATCACTGAATACCAAAAAGAGTGAAACTGATTTGTATATCTTTTCTCAAGATCCTTCTCTTAGCAGTGACAACTGTCACCTCCTTTTAGTACTTAAAACTTTAAAATTTTCCCCTCCTCTCTGATGTACAGTCTTCATGGACATTTTGCTTTGTTTACAGTTTACTCTCAGATATTAATCTTTTATGGTTTCCTTTCCCCCACCTCCTCCCATATTTTTTCACCTTCCCATTCACCCAAATACATAACTTATTTGACTCTCTCTCATTAGAAAACAAAGAGGCATCTAAAATTCCCACTTGGGATTGTCTGACCAAATGTGGGACTGGTCCCTGGAGACCACTGACTCAACTATCAGTCAGTAGCTGCTCGTTGCCTGCCTTATATAGACCACATATTGTTGAGTTTTCATGGGTGCAACTTCTTGTCATTTTAGAAGACCAACAAGCACCCTGGTTCTCTGGAACCAATATTGCCAACCCTCTCTATTGTGATCCTACTTACTCTGAGGCTCAGTGGAGTAACCCAGACTCAGAAAAAAAAATGCCACGTTTCCTCTTTTGAATGGATCATAGCTCAACATCTTCAATTTTAAATATAAAACTTGAGATAACTGTAGGATCGATGAAACAGAAAGGGACCATACTGGGAAGGGAGAAAAAGCTGTATTAGAACACAGGTGCAATGAAAAGGAAATAGAATAATGGGGGTCTTTAACTGGTGGAGGGAAGAGAGGGCGATAATACAGAGGGAGCAGGAGAAAGGACAGATGTTAACACTTAAGAGTATCTGAAAAAACAGGAAGTATTTATTTTCTTAAGGTACTGAAAATTGTGTGTGTGTGTGTGTGTGGTGTGTGTGTGTGTGTGTGTGTGTGTGTGTGTGTGTGTAACCTGCCTTTGAGTTGTTCATCGGGGAGATCCAAGAGACTCAAATATTAAGAATTGCCATTGCACTTGGTTGTTTCCCTGAAGACTCTGCTTTTGAAGATAGCTTACAGTTTGATTAAGAACTTGGAGGAATCAAGCCAGAACTTAGCTTGAAGCCTCCTCCATGAGGACTGTCTCTCATAGCATCCAAAGGTGCTTTGCAAGCTGCCAAGGGAGAAAGGAAATCAAAATTCCTACCAACATGTGGAGTCTTCAAATACATCAGTGAGTTCCTAGAAAGATTCATCCAATACTACCATATTGGTATTCTTACCTTAGCTGTTACCAACATTTATCTAAGTGACTTAAGGTCTTCTCAATTGGAGAGATTTCATGACTGAGATGGTAAAGCTCACCAGCCACACATGGCTGGAGAAGAGTAACATTTAGATAGAGACATCAAGGCAGAAAAGCAATTAGTAAAGCTTGGGAGAGGAAGGATCACAGCCAGTGTAAAGGCTGACTCAGGAGCTCACTTAGGCTGTTCCCTGAGAACACCCAGGACTCAAGGATGACTCGTGGTTCCTAAAGTGCAAAGATCAAGGTCTCGCCCAGCTAGCAGGTACCTTTGCTTCCTTTGTGATATCCACTAGTCTAATTAATCAAAATGCTGTAACATATATAAATAACACAGTTTTATCCTGTTCTAATCTGTAGATACAAGCATGGAATAACTTACAGACGGCCTTAGACAAATCAGTGTTAGATGATTCATAGATTCATATATAATATCATCTGTATAGTCTCATTTCTCTTTTGCTCTGTTCTTTTTTTCCTACTTGCTAGAAGGTAAAATCACATTGCAATTTGGATGTAGAACCTGGGAATGCTGGTAGGTGTTGTCAAATGTCTGTCGTTGTCACTAAAATATGCCATTGGTTTATGTTGCTAGTTTATTCCTCTATACACTCATTCACACTAAAATCCTCAGATCTCTACTCCAAAGCCACTTTCCCAGGCTCAGATGTCAGATAGAGAACTGTTTGATACTCAACATCAGAGACTGCCTTACCGACTTTCACCTTCCCTCTGTGTCTTTAGTTGGATCCCTTCTGGTGCCTGTATTATTCAGCAAGGTCTTTGAAGTAATAAACCATACAACCATGTTCATTGTTTTGGTAACTTTACACAATTATATTCCATCTTCAGGGTTTCTAATATACATTCAGACTTCTGAGGTTCATCTTACACCTTTCTGCTCCTAGTTGGCAGCTCTTGACAGCTACCAGATGCCAGCAGTACTGTAGGGTTAAAACAGCTCCTTTCGGGGGCAGGGTTTGCCTCAGGCGAATGCCTACAGATAAATGGGCGCGAGGGAGGCGGCTCCCCCCTTTCCTTCCTACCTCCTGTGCCAGGCGGGAACTTCGGTTCTGTAAGTTTATCATTAAAGTGGTAAATATTCTTTAATATCTGCATTGCATTTATTTACGCCGATACACAGTATCCTTTGCACATTGCTTGTCATCAACATAAGAGAGATCGTTATTCCCATCTTTAGCTTGCACATTTTTTGTCATCTCTCTCTCCCCCAAGTTTGCTACCCATACTAAAAGGAATAATGTTCTCTAGTTAATCCAAAAACTTCTTAATACTGTAATTTCTCTTCCCTGGAACATTTTAGCAGATGTTTATAATATCTGATGTTTATATCATTTAGGTATTAAATAAATGATGTAGCATGATTGACATATTATAAGAGGAAAATAAAATCTTGGGTTTTGTTTCATAATTTTTTATAATCACACATGTAGGAGAAGACCATGATAGCAACACACTTTGTGTAGTAGTTCAGTTTAAAAAAGGAAATTCATGACCTTTGTTAAAAAATAGTGTCATGATTTTGTTGAGCAGGAACCAAAATTAAATCAAACACAGGACTTTGGGATCTTGTAGTTCTGCACAAGGTGCCTTCCCAGGAACTTTACCCTATGGATGTGTTTCAGACACTGTCAGGAGGAAAGTTGTATCAATTTATTTATGTGCTGAGAGAGGTATATAAAAGAGAAATAAATATAGTTTACTAAATGGAAGGGCATACATATTAAAGTAGAATAATTATGCTAATCGGTTCACTTTCACTGTGCTCTGACATAGAACATACAGTAAGTGGAAATACATAGTTAATAAGAATCTACATTTAGTCTCAAGTCCATTATCCATTGTAGTACAAAGCATGGGTTTAGTGTGAAGATTCAGAAATAAGAGTACCTGGGGTTACAAAACCATGCTCTGTCTACCATAGAGTCTGTGATAAGGCAGTGTTTCCAGCTTACTGTACATCATTGTGTACACCATAGGGATGTAACAAGGAATCTACTAAATAGACTTGAAATGCAAATTATTCTATACTAAGTCCTTTGAAGAACACATAGTGCAGTAAAAGCTTAATTTATAAAGAGTCTGTGCATTAAAATTTTTTATTTAAAAGGAATGCTTCTTTCAAAATTATATGTATATACTACTCCTTTATAAATTGATGTTCCTTATTATATAGAAAATGTAGAATTACAAATTTTACTGTGACATTTAGCCAATGATGATGGAAACAAATGATGTCTTTAATTTTTTAAATCTAAAGTTGAATATCTAAATCTGCTGTTTAATTGATAATTTTTGTGTGCTATGATTCATAGATTTCATAAATTTAGAACCCAATTTATTTATATCTTAGCATTTCAAGCAGGTGTAAAGATATTTAATTACCAAGTTTTTTATAAATAATGAAATATAGAAATTTAAGTTATTCACTTTGCTTTTATTTTTTATGTTATTAAGTATTATGCTATATATATATATGAGTATGAATCATGTTTATTTATAATGTGAACAGATTGTTTTCTTTATTTTAGGAAAAGATATATTGATTTGTAAATGAAATACTTATTCTTGTGTGCAAACTACGAATTTCAGCAGCCCTGAAATGGCATCGGAAATATTAGTTTAATCATCAAATTTAGAGTATCAAATAGTATGCATGCTATTGTCAGGATTAAAGATAAATTTGCTCAAATAATTTACTTTAGATGGTTTCTAATAAGTTATTCATAATGAACAATATAACCTTTTAAAAGAAATTCTAAGCAAGCCTGCTTTCTAAGGAGGAACAGGAAAGCTCTTCTGGGTTTACCTTCCATTAGTTGTGAGCACTGCTTGGAAAGAGTGAGGTGAACCCACTTCCTTATCACACCATGTACTCAGATCCTTTTCTCTCTTGCAGATTTCACTATTTAAATCTATGTCCAATTTCTTTTTCATATTAGATAGTATTACTGAAGTCTTCACTAACATCTACGTGACCAGTTTTGGCCCTGTCTCAGATACAGATATGGTGAGTATTTTTTTTTAATATCAAAGATGTTTCTTAACTGATTGGAAATTGTTGGTAATTTAGAGTAAGTATGTATTATTATTGTCACATAAGTCTTTATATATCTCATGTCTGGTCACATGAGAAAAAAGTTGAGGTTGTATTTTTGGGTTTCTGTGGAACACAATGAAAGCTTGAATGTTTTTTTTTCCCAAAAATAGCCTACCTAGATGTAATGTTGCATATAATCACAATTAAAGTGAAACAATTGTATTATTGGTGATGATTTTCTGGAGTTAAAGCACTTGCTTGACTTTCATATAACTGAGTTTCATATGTAACCACTTCTCACCAATGGTGGTGGTACATGAAGATATCCTTATGTATCAGTCATGTAGTCTGCACACAAAAGAGCACATGCAAACCAAACCAAAGAAAACTACAAGGTCAAAATTACTGGATTTTGTTGAATTTATGTTCATTTATTTTTCTTTAAATGAGATCTATGTGAGAGGGAAATTGGTGGAGTAAGAGAAACTCTTAATTATATGTAAAAATGTTAGTAGTAATCATTCCTCCCTATAATAGCAAACGATAGTCCTGTGTAATTGAACATTTTCTTGAAATGATATTTTCTCATTATTGCTATGCAAGATTGTGCCATATCTTCCAAATGATACCTTCCCTGATTCCTTTCCTCCCAATTGCTCCTTCCTCTCTTATCCCATGCTGCTTCTCTGTCAACTGGGAGGCTCACGATATGTTTCAGTCCTCAGGAATCCTCTATTTCTGTCCGTAACAGCTTAAGTTCCAGAGACTGAGAATCAGGAAAGATGTCTTTGTTGGCTTTGTGTCTGGTCTTCCCCACATTGTCATCTCTTCCCAATTTCTTTTGTCACTCTGAGAATACAGAATAGAAATGGACAAGTTTGGATATTTTCCACCTGGATGAACAAAGGAAAACAAAACATTCACCCTTATCTGGTTCGCTTAAACATTAATTTCAATGCTATCACTCTGTCTTCTGGGATTGAGCAGAAATATCACATTCACAATGAAGTGATTGCTTTTTCTTCCATTAGAATAAGTCTTCTACATTGGTTAATGTCTTCTAGGACCTGTGTGGGGTACGGGGTGACAGGTTGTGAGACTGAGGGGAGAGCTTTACTTTGGGGCGGGGTGTTAACTCAAAAATGGTTAGGTCTTTAAGAATTCTTCCAAAGTGACAATGTAATGGTTCCTTTCTCTACAGCAGGGGAGAGACACAGGGACAGTTTTGGAACATCAGGAACACATGCCATAGAACCTAAGCTTTAACATCAATGAGCATATTACCATAGAAGGGGCAAATTTACTAAGATCTTACAAGAACTACAGGCAAAGAACTTCAGACTCTTGGGAGAAGAGGAGAATTCATATTTTCCAGTGATTAAGGCCCTCACTGGTTGTTCAGTCCTGAGTGGTCAGCCTTGAAACCTTGAAACCATATATACACCACCAACAAAACAGATGTATAGCAGGTTTTGTTTGTTCTCTCTCTCTCTCTCTCTCTCTCTCTCTCTCTCTCTCTCTCTCTCTCACACACACACACACACACACGAACATATTTGTTGTATGTATATATGTGTATGTAGGTAACAATAATAACCAAAGACAGAAAAAGAGACTATTGAAAATGTATGTTGAGTGCATGGCAGGTGTTGAAGAGAGAGTACCTGAGAGGGGCTGTGAGAAGGATAGGGAAGGGGAGATTTATGTAATTCCATTTCAATTTTAAACATATTTTTTTTACATTTTTTTTATTGCGAAAAGAAGAAAAAAAACATAAACAAAAAACAAGTTTCCACCTCCTCCCAGCCTCCCATTTCCCTTCCCCTCCTCCCACCCTTCTCCCCCTCCTCCCACCCTTCTCCCCCTCCTCCCACCCTTCTCCCCCTCCCCCCACTTCTCTCCCCCTCCCTCTCCAGTCCACAGAGCAGTCCGGGTTCCCTGCCCTGTGTTAAGTCCTAGGTCCTCTCCGTCCATATCTAGGAAGGTGAACATCCAAACTGGCTAGGCTCCCACAAAGCCAGCACATTAAGTAGGATCAAAACCCCCTGCCATTGTCCTTGGTGTCTCATCAGCCCTCATTGTTCATATTTTTAAATTTATTTTTTATTTCATTTTATATTTCATCTGTAGTTCTCCCTCCAACTCTCCTTCTTGCCCCCTTTCCTCCCCAAAAGCCAACCCTCTACCTATTCCTCCCAATGGGTAAGGGCACCCAGGAGATGTCAGCTAATTCTGGTACATTAAGCTGGGAAACGACCAAGCTACTGCATTAAGTGTGAGCATGGCATCCCACCATAGGGAATTGGCTCCAATAATGGGCTCCAGGATAGATCCTGGTCCTACTGCCAGGAAAAAAAAAAAGTATCTCTAACAGAAATTTGATCAGGATAATCTAACACAAAGCATTATTAACTATCAAAAGGTTTGTTAGGCATTGAAAGGGCTGAAATAGCACTTAGAGTGAAGAAATGGAGAACAAGAGAATGCAGAGCAGAAGTAGTTTGAACCAGGGAATGAAGGAGGACACTTAACAATTCACTTCTCCAAGGCAGTGAGCTCATTCGTCAGTGAAGAAGGTTCAGAAGCTGCAGGAAGTTCAAGCTTCAGCTCCCGAAGAAAGATGTGAGGAATGTATTTTTCTTGGGCTACCTTTCCTAGTGACTGGAAACTCCTCACATGCTTGTCCTGGAAGCTTTGCGAGAGAGCAATCATGAAAGGAGTCTGGGAGAAAATCTCCCTCCTCTTGATATGCATTGGAGTGTTTGTCCAGATACCTCACTTGACTAGACCAGGTATCACATGTTGACATACTCCATCTTCTGATCCAATTAAGGAAAAGGTTTTGAGGTGAGACAAAAAAATATGGAGTTTAGGAACACATAATAAAATATGGCAGGAAGATGATTTAGAGTATGGGCAAAGAGATCACTTAGACACTGAGAAGCTTCTGTGTTATATTTGTCTAGATCCAGGGAACAAGTGCGAAATTAAAGGAAATTTATTTCAAAAATATACATATACACATGCATATACATAACCATGACTATATATATCTATAACATACATTCAAATAATATCACATTAACATACAAACTCACATTCCAATTCTTCAAGAAAAGGTTAATCTGAAGTAAAAGAAATTGGAAATATTGTAAATTTAATACTCATGCATGAAATTCTCAAAAAAAAATAAATACAGGAAGCAAGTGAATATTAAAAAGTTATCAACTTTTTAATGAGAAAGGACTTGGCTTTTATGATTATGAGATGAAATATTTCATTCTTATTTGATACTCCTCTTGCAGATGTTAGAAAAATAATGAGGCAGGCTTAAACTGTGTTTAGTAAAGTCTGAGGTAATCTAAACAGACATGCCCCAAATGGGAAGGAAAGGCAGACACATCTAATAGCCCACAAGTAAAAGAGGAGGACACAGAGGCATATGTCTCATAGAAGCAATTTATTAAGAACAAATAAGGAAGATATTTTACTTCCTTTTTAGTAGTTTAACTGCAGTTCTTTCAATGAGCTATATAATCTGTAGCAGAAATTAAAGCCCTAAATTCTCCTGTTCAGATAAGTGATGTAGATTTGTTCTGACATTAGCTTGAGAGGAAATAGCAGCACAGCATAAAGAATTAAGAATCAAAGAAAAACACCCATGCACACATACACGTATTTATATGTACATAGTCATACAGACACATGCTAACACTTGACTATCAAAAAATTCATTAACCAGCGTAATTGTCCAAAGAAAGTTGTACATCTGAATTAATGATTCTAATTGCAGTGTCTGCAGTTAATTTAAAAACCTTTAACTTCAACATTAAAAAAATTAATGAGTAAGGAGGTAATTAAGCTTTAGAATGTACTGGTAGCTAAGAATGGGCAAAGTTTGCGGTAGGCGTGCACGTTACAACAATTTCTCCTACACCTGACCCACCCTTATAACTTTCCATACAAAGGATCATGTACTTTCTATAAAAGACATGCAAATGTCTCCTTCTGTGTCTGTGGACATTTCATGACATGTATGTGTTTTTCTACAGTAGCAGTATAACTACAAAACATTGAGCTCATGCCTGTAAAAGGGTCCATAGCTCAGGCAATTGTTCCATGCTCAGTGTTAGTGCTGTATCTTGGGGAATTGTTTGTTCTCATCCACTGTGTTATCACCTTCTTGATGTTACTAACAAATTAGGCAGTCAGTTAACTGTGATCTTGATGTATTAATTACTTTGATCTGCTTGGGCCATACTGCTTTCCTTCTCTGTAAATGCAAAACATGTTATCTCAAAAATCCTAAGAAGCCAACGGAATGCTTTGTAGTTCAGAAATACAGAGAGCTGTAATTCTCATCGGATTTCCTTATTATCCTTGCTTACATTGTCATTTGGCTATGTAGTGGATTTAGGGATCTTGGTTTGTGATATGTATCAGAAGCAAAATGATGATGTTTTCCCATTTTAAAATTAGTATTTAAAAATTAGTTATGGGCTAGTTATTGGTACACTGGAATGTGAAGATTAGAGTAGAAGAATACTTTCACACATCAGGCATTTTCCAGCCCCGTAGAATAATGTGTAAAAATGCTTCATAAAGTGAGATTGATACATACCTTTTTGGGATTTGATGAAGATTGTAAACTTGTCTTCTGCATTTATCTAAAAAGTGATGTGTATTACGTAGAAGTATAATTCATCTATAGACAGAGTCTGTGTGGTCCTCAAAATCCAATTGTAGGTATCAGGTGATGGGAGAAGAAAAAATGAGTTACAAACGGACTGTTTCTGGCAAAGGTGCCTCTGTCACCTTTGGGTTGGAACAGTAGTATTAAAAGAGAAACATGCTAATCATTTAGAATGTTTCTATCTATACATTCGATGACTTGTTGATTTTTTGGATTCAGAAAGTTGGAAAAAATAAGAGTGAAGGTATTGGGAGAAGTTAACATTTCCAGACAAGAG